AGAGAGGCAGTAGAGCCGTCGGTAGCATTGTCTGCACCGTCACGACCGCCAGAATGGCCTTCTTCAGCAGCGCTCTTCTTCTTCGAGCTTGACTCCTTTGAACGGTCTCTTCCGTCGCCCACGCTTGATCCTTTACCATTCGGCATTTCTCCTTCTCGTAGAACACCGCGCGACTCTCGCACTCCGCCTTCTGCCAAACCTTCCACGTTCTCCTTGTCTCGGGAGACTTCCACTGCACGCGTCCGCAGTTGATCCATCTCCCATTGAGCTCGTAACCCCATCAGCATGAAGTTGAGCTCCTTCTCTGGGAGGTCTTCATAGCGGGCTATCAAGGCAGCCTCCTACGCCTCGAGATCGTCGACCACCTTACGGACGTCCGATTCCCCGTCCGTCATATCGACAATCGAGACCTTCTGCGAGACCTAATGTAGTAGATTCGACCTCTATCGTTCGCGTGTTCGGTCCACGCTCACCGCACCATGAAGGGATAGCTCCAGTTCGCTAACCAACAGGGATAAAGGGGCATGTTTGTATGGTGGGTCATGGCACCCACACCCCCCCAAGACGACACCTGTAGCCCTTCAAGGGGACCACTCTGAGCCATCTTAGTGCCCCCTTCCAACAATACCTCCATACCTCCACACCTCCATACCTCCATACCTCAATACCTCCACACCTCCACACCTCCACACCTCCACACCTCCATACCTCCACACGTCCTCCACACCTCCACACATCCATACCTTTATACCTCCACACCTCCACATCTCCACACCTCAATGCCTTCACACCTCCATACCTCAACACCTCCACACCTCCACACCTCCATACCTCCACTCCTTCATACCTCCATACCTCCATACCTCCACACCACTACACCTCCATACCTCCACACCTCCATACCTCCACACCTCCACACCTCCATACCCCCACACCTCCATACCTCCACACCTCCACACCTCCATACCTCCATACCTCTAAACCTCCATACCTCCAAACCTCCATACTTCCATACCTCCACACCTCCATACCTCCACACCTCCATACCTCCACACCTCCTTACCTCCACATCTCCATACCTCCGTACCTCCGTATCTCCACACCTCCATACCTCCAAACCTCCATACCTCCATACCTCCACACCTCCATACCTCCACACCCCCATACATCCATTCCTCCACACCTCCATACCTCCACACCTCCACACCTACATACCTCCATAACTCTAAACCTCCATACCTCCATACCTCCATACTTCCATACCTCCACACCTCCATACCTCCACACCTCCATACCTCCACACCTCCTTACCTCCACATCTCCATACCTCCATGCCTCCGTATCTCTAAACCTCCATACCTCCAAACCGCCATACCTCCACGCCTCCACTCCTCCATCCCTCCACACCTTCATACCTCCACACCTCCATACCTCCACACCTCCATACCTCCATACCTCCGCACCTCCACACCTCCACACCCCCATACCTTTATTCCTCCACACCTCCATACCTTCACACCTCCACACCTCCATACCTCCATACCTCTAAACCTCCATACCTCCATACCTCCATACTTGTATACCTCCACACCTCCATACCTCCACACCTCCATACCTCCATACCTCCAAACCTCCATACCTCCATACCTCCACACCTCCATACCTCCACACCTCCATACCTCCATACCTCCACACCTCCATACCTCCATACCTCCACACCTCCATACTTCCATACCTCCACACCTCCATACCTCCATACCTCCATACCTCCAAACCTCCATACCTCCATACCTCCACACCTCCATACCTCCACACCTCCATAACTCCATACCTCCATACCTCCATACCTCCATACCTCCACACCTCCATACCTCCATACCTCGACACCCCCATACCTCCACACCTCCATACCTCCATACCTCAACACACCGCCACACCTCCATACCTCCACACCTCCATACCTCCATACCTCCACACCTCCACAGCTCGACACCTCCACACCTCCATACCTCCACACGTCCTGCACACCTCCATACCTCCACATCTCCACACCTCCATACCTCAACTCCTCCACACCTCCACACCTCCACACCTCCACACCTCCATAACTCCATACGTCCTCCACACCTCCACACATCCATACCTTAATACATCCACACCTCCACATCTCCACACCTCAATGCCTTCACACCTCCATACGTCCACACCTCCATACCTCCGTACCTCCACACCTCCGTACCTCCACACCTCCCCACCTCCACACCTTCACACCTCCACACCTCCATACCTCAACATCTCCACACCTCCATACCTCCACACCTCCATACCTCCACACCTCCATAGCTCCACACCTCCACACCTCCATACCTCCACACGTCCTGCACACCTCCACACCTCCATACCTCAACTCCTCCACACCTCCACACCTCCACGCATCCATACCTTTATACCTCCACACCTCCACATCTCCACACCTCAATGCCTTCACACCTCCATACCTCCACACCTCCATACCTCCGTACCTCCACACCTCCACACCTCCACACCTCCATACCTCTACACCTTCATACCTCGACACCTCCATACCTCCAAACCTCCATACCTCCATACCTCCACACCTCCACACCTCCACACCCCCATACCTCCATTCCTCCACACCTCCATACCTCCACACCTCCACACCTCCATACCTCCATACCTCTAAACCTCCATACCTCCATACCTCCATACTTCCATACCTCCACACCTCCATACCTCCACACCTCCATAGCTCCATACCTCCAAACCTCCATACCTCCATACTTCCACACCTCCATACCTCCACACCTCCATACCTCCATACCTCCACACCTCCATACCTCCATACCTCCACACCTCCATACTTCCATACCTCCACACCTCCATACCTCCACACCTCCATACCTCCATACCTCCAAACCTCCATACCTCCATACCTCCACACCTCCATACCTCCACACCTCCATACTTCCATACCTCCATACCTCCATACCTCCATACCTACATACCTCCATACCTCCACACCTCCATACCTCCATACCTCAACAACCCCATACCTCCACACCTCCATACCTCCATACCTCTACACACCTCCACACCTCCATACCTCCACACCTCAAAACCCGTGCACTCACATTCCGTGCCCCCATATTGTGCCCTTGTTCTCTGTGACCCCAAGGTGTGTGCCCACCGTATTCCGTGCCCTTATTTTCCGTGCCCTTATTGCGATCCGTGCCCTCATGACCCTTTTCCCTCATATCCCGTTCCCTATCTCGTGCCCCTGTATTTGGTGCTGCCCATAGTATTCTGCCTTCATATCTTGTGACCTCGTATTTTGCCTCGTGCTCTCGTATCCCGTGTACTCACATTCCGTGGCCCCATATCTTGTGCCCTTTAAATCCATGTGCCCCCAAGCTATGTGCCACCGTACTCCGTGCCCTTATTGCGTGCGTTCGGTGCCCTCATGACCCGTACCTCCACACTCCGTACATTCGTATCCCATGTTGTCGCCCACCGTGCCCTCGTATAAAGTCCGCTCCTATCACAAGCTTGTTGACCGTATTGTTTTGTATTGTTTTTTGTTGTCGTGTTGTTTTCATATAGAATTATTTAATCGCCTAAAATAAGAAGTGGGATGAAAGATGCATAGCATAAAAACATTTTTTTTAATTAAATTAAATAAGAAAGGAATAGATAAAACATATATAAAAAATATTTTAGAAAACATGTAGAAATCCAATGCAATACACTATTGGAATAAACATTTTACGGTAGATAACATGTAGAGTAACAAACAAATATAGTTTTATTAATCAAGATTTATTGAAAAAAAGTGGGGAAAAAAAGGACTGACGAAAGGATACATGTCATATGCCTTGTAGACGACTTCCTTTTATGCCCAAGAGTACTCCATAGGCATTTTATCCTTAAGGGCCTCTCCTTGTACGCAAAGTGTACCCGTGTCATGTGAACAGTACTCATTACAATCAATTGGCAACATTTTTAGAAAGCCAATTAGTGTTTTCGTGCGACGATTTTCAATGGCAACGATCTGACACTGGCTGTTTGTATCAGAATCGTCAACCAATGCTCGGAGCCGAATCCACATCACTTTCTGGAAGATCCAACAACCACTAGACCAGCCATTTATGTTCCTCCATGTTTGCCCCACAAATTGTGTAATGTTTGTACAATTGGGGGCTTGTTTTATATCACTCTGAAATGAATCCGGATGCGCAAACAGGACTGGTTACCGCTCTCGTCGATGTTCGCCTATCCCGTACATTTGCGATTTTCCCAAATGTAAACGCCTTTTCCTTATTCTTGATAGAGCGCGTTGAATGTTGTGTGGAATCTAAAACTTTACCATGAACCCTGAGTTGACGCGCGTGCGACATGGTGAGCGACACCTGATCGCAACAAACGCCAACACTGCCGACCATGAACAGTTCATAAAATACAAGCAAAAAACATTTTGCGACACGCCAGAGTCCCGTTTGCCCGAGCATATTCCATGTACGCGAAATCCTCCGAGTCGCCCCCCCGGGCTCTCAGGGAATATGACTTGTACATGAAACCAAATTTATATGGTTGCTACGCAACCCAAAAACTGGTGCCTTGCAACTTGGGATCTGGGCTTTGGGATCACGTTAGTAAATATCTCGACTTCCCACCCAAGCGCGACAAGACCCCCCCGGATTCTGTAAGAATCAACAGCCCAATTGATATATGGGAGCCTCCACGCCCTAAGGGCGTGGTCTCTGCAGATCAGTTCGGCGTTCAGATTTGTTTTGCAGGTAACCCTTGTTTCGTCAGCCAAATACTGTTTCGGATTGGGTGCGAGCTCGAAAAATTATCGCATGATCAGTTAGACGGCAAAACGATCTACGTGATCACGCCCTAAGTCGACTCGAAATGGTGTCGGCAGTCATTGGCGCCGGAGCTTTCGCTAAAGGCACCGATTAAGTATATAGTCGGACGGACATTACGCGCTCTACTCGTGCCCGGCGCTCTAGCCGTATCCGCCACGTCCCGCGTCGCGTGTCTCCCGGCGCTCGCCGTTCCGCTCTCTTCCACAATCGAACCCCACCGCCGCCGCACCACCTCTCGTTCCCCCTTTCCCACACCTCGCCTCGCGCCTTCTCCCCCTACCAGCCGCCCCGCCCCCTTGCCCCCGCAATCGGGATCATGCCACATGTGCTTCGTCGTGCCCCGCCAGTGATGTTGACGCGCGCGGCGGCCCACCAATCCCTAGGATCTCCGCGACGCTGCCGCCCGCGCTGCCTCCCCTATGTCGTCCGATCGCCCTCCACATGGCCCCTCCTGCTGCTCCTCCTTCTGGTCGGCAATGCCACGTGGCACCTGGGCGGTGGCGCACCACTCCTATCAGCTGAACGTGAGAGCAGCCCTAATAACTGCATCTCCCATCGACACGCACCTGTATTCCCAACAGCACACTCTGTCGTCGCTTATACCCACGCTTATATTTTGGAGCAATATGAGCCATAATCACCCCCTCCCCCGCTCCCCAACGCCCGTGCGTGCACCCTCGTGTGTGTGTATGTGTTCAACTGCCCGGCGTGCGTGCACCCGCTTGTGCATGAGGCAGGAGAGGCGCTGCTGGAAATGTCCAAGTACAGGGAGAGCGACCCGTACACGGAGGAATTGCAGGGGGACTGCCTTGACGTCTCCAACCTCGACTGCGACGACTCGGGCGCCGTCACGCGCATGTGAGGGCGATGGCACGCGCATGTGAGGGTGATGGCACGCGCATGTGAGGGTGATGGCACGCGCATGTGAGGGCGATGGCACGCGCATATGAGGGCGATGGCACGCGAATGTGAGGGCGATGGCACGCGCATGTGAGGGCGATGGCACGCACATATGAGGGCGATGACACGCGAATGTGAGGGAGATGGCACGCGCATGTGAGGGCGATGGCACGCACATATGAGGGCGATGGCACGCGCATGTGAGGGCGATGGCACGCGCATGTGAGGGCAATGGCGTGGGATGGCAATGCAGCTCGTGTCAGTGCGTGTATGCACAATCCACACGAGCATCCATCTTAGCACCCCACACAGCTGCACATGACCACAACACACGTCTCCCGTCCTTCTGATCGTGCCCTTCCATTTCTCCCCCCCCTCTGCCGGCAGCTATCTGTCGCGCTACAATGTCATTCCCGACGCCATCCAGGCGCTCTCCCGCCTGCAGCACCTGTGAGCGCTCTCACGGTCCATGGGGCATGGGGCATGGGGCATGGGGCATGGGGCATGGGGCATGGGGCAGGGGGCAGGGGGCATGGGGCGTGGGGCATGGGGCATGCCGCATGGGGCATGGGGCTTGGAGCACGGGGCATGGGGCAGGGGGCATGGGGCATGGGGCATGGGGCAGGGGGCATGGAGCATGGGGCATGGGGCAGGGGGCATGGGGCGTGGGGCATGCCGCATGGGGCATGGGGCGTGGGGCATGCCGCATGGGGCATGGGGCATGGGTCATGGGGCAGGGGGCATGGGGCATGGGACATGGGACATGGGCTTGGTGCATGGGGTATGGGGCATGTGACATGACTCAATCAAGGGCCATGGAGCATGGGCTGTGGCATGGGCTGTGGCTTAGTTGGCACTTTACCAACTTCCAACTTCCAAGTAGCGTAAACATAAATTTACTCGTAAATTTGCTTCTTCGTTTTTTCTCTCGTAAATTTGCGTAAATATGGACGAGCAGCTTAAAAAAGTCATTGTAGGGGCAGGAAGAGAGGGGGCAGATTGTCTTCGAAAGGGGAGCAGTCGTGTCTATGGTATGCTTACGCGCTGTGGCCTACCAAGGCACTTCGTTGTAAAAAAAAAACAAACATGCGTGGTAAATGTAGCTTTTTTGTCTCTGCTTGCTTGGTGCATTCCCAAAGGATTATGAGATTCTCCCCTATGCCGGGGCAGTTTGAAATCATTCTATGCTGCCTGTAAACGTTAAGCCATGCCGGCCTAACGTAAGTATGCTACGTAATGTCGTGTAAACGTAGAGCCTTGTAAAGGTAAAGTGCCAAAAGGGCTGTGGCATGGGCAATGGAGATGCAGTCTTGTGTTATGCGGCACATGGGTTGTAGGGGGCCCCATAGTCGTGTGGAGTACTCACTGTGCAAAGGATGCTGAATACCCAGGGGGACAAAGGAAGCCGAGATTGAAGGAGAGGGCAAGCCTGTCAGCCAAACAAAGCCGGATCCGCGATTCTTGACACGATTTGAACCGAGTAGGTTAGATCAAGTTCTCGCCTACTTTACTTGACCCACTGGCAATTGGCAAATACATAGTGGATCCGCTGCAATGTGATGATGACGCGGATCAAATGGATAATTGCAGGCTGGGCATACAGAGCGGTGAGGTGTGAGGGACAGGAGCACAAGTAGAGTTCAGTGCCAACAACAAGCGAGATGTGCCGGACATCAGCAGCATCACACTGCCCACGCTGCTTAGACGTGAGGGGCCAACGCGTGTGCAATATGGACCTCATCGAGGCTGTGGGATGTCCTTACCCCACTCGCTTAGCATGCTTCGCATTGCTTGCAAGGAAAGGACAGAACTCTTGACTGGAAAGCTGACTAGGACAGTCCCTCAGAGGCGCCTCTGCCACGCTGTGGTTCCTGCCTCTTCCTTTCTCCCGTCACCCTGCCATGCCATGCACGTCCATCCTTGCAGACACTGGTCGGAGAGTGAGGCCAGGGAAGTCCCCACCGTCATCGCCACACTCGCTTCGCTCACCCGCATGTATGTATCATCCGTGCATGCTGGCTGGCTGGGGTGCGCGCCCACGTCCTGGCAGCCGTTGTCAGGGGGAACACTCGTGAGAGCATTCTGCTTTGCGTGTGCGTGCGCATGGCATCATGTGGGGGCATGGCGTGTGCATGCTGTGTGCACTGCACACTCCTGCGACTGGACGTGCCAGATTTGGTGTGTGCCACCGTAGCTCCTGTTGGCGTCTGCATGATTGCATCTGCTCAGCATAGCGTGGCATCATGGGGCCCCTTGCTCTTTCTGAGCCCTCTCTTCCACCGCCTCTCAACTGCAGCACCGGTGCTGCACTGTGACAGTCACTCTCTCCGCTCCTCCACGCGCAGAGTCTACCTTGCACAGTTAACTGTCTCATGCCTTGCCTACCCCCGCCCTGCCCCGCCCCGCCCTGCCCTACCCTGCCCATCTTCCCCCCAAGCCCTCGCAAACCCCCCATCGCAATTCCCCCATCACAGCACCCTGCTTGTACCCTGTCTAGGCGGCCACTACCCTCCGCAACCTGAGTCTTTCTTTTACCGACACTCCTCCCCCATCCCTCCTTCCCGGTTCTCTCCGTTTTGCCCCCCCCCCTCCCCCCCCCCCTCGGTGAGTTGCAGTGACATGCTTCGCTGCCTCGCCTCTGGCTCCCTGCCATCAACCATCTCAGCGCTCTCCAAGCTCAAGTAACTGTGATGTGAGCTCCCGATTTTCCCTTAGCCATATCTGACCATGCATATCCCCGACTCTCGTGTTTGGCTCTCCTTCCACGCATCCCCTCCTCCCCCTTCCCCTCCCTTTCCCAGTCCTGGCAGTTCCCCCTTCTGACTCATTTAACCTTCCTTCTCCTCCCCCCCTTCCCCCTTCCACCCCCTCTTCCTTCTTCTTCCATTCTGTCTTTCCCTGTTCAATACCTGCTCCACTGAACAAACTCTGTGGCTGCCCACCCATCTCCGCACAATGTGCGGCCCACATTCCATCCGCCCCCCTCTTTCCTTCCCCTCTCTACCCCCTCCTCCCTCCCACACACGCAATCCACGTTCCTCTCCCTTCCCATTGACATGTCCTGCAATGCCCTTCATCTCCCCCCCTTCCCGCTCATCCCGCCCTCGCCTCTCCTCCCCCCTCTTCCTCCACCCCAGATACATCGAGGGCGGCCTCTCCGGTTCGCTGCCTGCAGCGGTTGGGCAGATGACAAGCCTCGACACACTGTGTGCACCGTGGATTGGGGTGGGGGGGAGGGAGGGGGAAATGGGGTTGGGGGGCAAGGTAAGGGGGAGACCGGAATGTGGGAAATGTGGGGAGGAGGAGGGGGAGATGGGGAAGGGGGATGATTGGGCAAGAAAAAATCGGGTTGCTCAGGGGGAGTACATGTGTGTGTGAGAGAAAAGGGTGTGCATGGGAAGGCGTGGAGGATTCTGTTGAATGCATTCCCGATGCGTTCACCTCCGTGGGTTCCTGCATTCCTGCATCCCAGATTCTCTGCCGCCCAGCTCCCTCCTCTTTTCTGTTGAGCCCTCTTGTCTTCCCTTGTTCATCTCTATCCCGCTCCCATGAAATCCGTGCCTTCTCCTCTCCCCGCCGCCATCAGGTACATCAGCATGTGCCCTCTTGAAGGCTCCTTCCCCTCCGACATGAAGCTCCTGACGAATCTTGCCAAGCTGTAATGCCCGCCCCCACCCCTGCACACACACACATGCCACAGACACACACTCAACCCTGCCACAACCTCACGTCACTCGTGGACTCAGAGCAGAGCAACCATTGCGAAAGCCCCGTGAGCTGATGGATTGACTGTGTGGCTCGGCGTGCTCCTCGTTCCCTTCACATGGTGCTCTGAGCTGGCCGTCTTCGTTTTCACTGTGTGCCGCCAAGTCCTTGTGCCCTTGTACTCCACTTCTTCCACTCTCACACAGCATCCCGCGTGTGCTCTCCCCGTCACCCCATGCAGGGAGATCTCGTACACCAACCTCACAGGGCCCCTGGACCCCATCCAGTCCCTCTCGCAGCTGCAGAGGATGTCAGTTGCACACAGAACCATGCAACCATGCCCTGCCATGCCATCCCATCCCATCCCATGCCATCCCATGCCATCCCATCCCATGCCATGTCCTGATATGATATGCCTTGACCTGCCATGCTATGCCATGGCATGCCATGCCATGCACACTACCAGTTGTATCTGTGAGCCATCTCACAGTGCACGATGCCTCTCCTCTCTACCATGCACAGTCCATCTCTACACACAGCACACTCCAGATCTTGCTCACGTGCCACACAATCTCATTCCACATGTCCCTCGTCCTCTCGAAGGTTCAACCTGATACCATCTCACCACCTGAGCTTGCGCCCATTCAAGCCGCCACGTAGCACCATGCCCTTGTTGTGAAGCTATGTTGGCATAAACACGTTTTTGCGTTTTTGCGTTACGTTCTGAACGCTTGCGTTCAGGAGGCAAAACACAGGATTCCAGGCTTCAAATACGCTCGGAAAACGCCTGCCCGGGCAGGCGGAAAATTTAGCCCGGGCAGCGGACGGACGCCATGCTAGGGGCTGGAAGTCGGGTAGCTTAGGTGCTGGAAGGAGGAGCGTAAGAGTACTAGATCGTCAGTGCATGTGAGGTGAGCGAAGATCTCCTCTACAGATAGCTCTGGTCTGGATCAAGCAGGGGGGAATGGGTTGGGATTTTCAACAAAGTTGGGAAGAGGGAAGGAGGGATTGACGAGTTTTCGTGTCGCTATGAAAAGTTTCGTGACAGTACAACGACGAATTGCGACACGCGAAACGTGTTGCGTTTCGCGACGCGCGGCAAAATGTGTTTTCGATTCGCGACTTTGCGGGTTTTTTTGTACGTTTTTTCGTTCCGGTCTGCCCGAAACATTTCAAGGTGCGTTCGAGCGTTTTGACACGTTTTTGCGCATTGCGTTTAAACGATTGCGTTTAAACGCAAAACGCAAACTGACAAAAGCGTTTTTGTCAACACAGTTGTGAAGCTGGTGCTCATGCTGTTGCTGCCATGTTGCTGTCTGTGTCCCTTGGCAGGGTACCGTGGTCTCCCTTGCATCCTGCATCATGCACCGCTTTTGTGTCCGTGCTTTTGCTGGATCTGACATGGCCTTAGCCGTCCTTCTCTACATCCTCCCCCACACACCCTCCCCCCTCCCTCTCCCCCTCTCTACATCCGGCAGAGCGTTGGACCGCAACTCGCTGTCAGGGACCTTGCCAGCAGGTTTGGGTGCACTGCGCAATGTGCTGACGCTGTAAGCAGGGGCTCGCTGGTGATGTGCTGTGCATGTCGTGTGCGTGTGTGGCCATGGGAGTTGGAGCGGTGAAGAGGAGGCATGGAGGACATGCTACCAGTGTTACTCGTGTATGTCTGTGGGAAGAGAAGGAAGTGAGTTGCAGTACAATGTGCTGAGACCTCCTTGTTGGGAATCAGTGGAAAAGGGGTGTTGCTGCGAGGAATACGGAATTGAATACGAATAGGTGGTCAGAACAGGGTGTAAGGGTGTTTTCTAGGGTTTCGCACCGAATACCGCGATAGAAATAGCCCCCCTAATAATGTTACTCTATTACCCCCCTCCCCAGTCACTTCCACTCCTGGCGTATTGTCGAAGTAGCTGGGATTCTGGCTTATTATTTATGGAACAACATGTCATGCACAAGAATCCTGTTTTTGTTTTTGTCCACGATTGATTGTTTCTATGGAGGTCGCAAATAGGTCATTGTTAGGCCTATTGTGCGGCCCTCCGATTTCGCCGGTATCGCTTATTCTGCACTGCTGATTTTGCCATGCTGTTTAGACTTTGAGAGGAAAGGGGAGTTGGGGAGGTGTGTATGGTAGGCTCACACGAAAACGAATGTCTTCCCGAATATCGAATATTTGAGTGTCGAATATTATATTCGGAACCGGCGAATCTTTGAGAGACGAATACTGCCGGCCGAATAGCTTCGGGATGTCAGATTCGTTTTGTATTTGATATTTGTCGAATACCAAATACGAATCCGAAACCGGTGATATTTGTTTGCACGCAGCGTGAGCATGTCTGTTAAGAGCCAAGTCCACCGTCTAGTATGATTGAAATGTTTTGCAGGTGCCTGACTTGCTGAACTGCTATTGGCCTGCGATATGCAAATTTTGACGAAGGTGTTGCGAGGATTGCGAAGCTCAGCCGTGTTTTCCCCAAACCAGCCAGGTTCGGTTCCGAAGCTGAAAACAAAATGAGTTTCCGCACACACATAAGGGTGTGCTGTTGCTCTCGCGAATTTGTATTAGGAGCAGACAGCTGACCCCTCAAGATGTTTACGAAACGCGTAACCAGACCAAGTTGCGCAACTCAGGCATTTTGCGCAACCCTAGGCACCACGCCCTAGCCTAGAGTTTAGCTAAACCCGATTTCCTGGTGATTTGCATTTGACGGTAATTGTGCAGTGTGATGTGGTCTCGACACTTGTGAGTAGGTTTCGGTGAATCGGAGCCTTGCATTCTTTCCTTAGTAACCAATGCTTGTAGGTTGACAGAATTCACTCGTCGCTCTCCAGTCATAATCGAATTCGCCCATCAATTGCAGTAACATTCGAACAATACTAGACGGCGGTTTCTACTCCATCGTACTACAGGTGACCATGGTTTCATGCAAGTCTGTGTGCATGGCTAGCATGTGTGTGTGTGCAAACCGCTTTCCCCATCCTCCTCTCTGCATGTGCCTGGCATGGCCCCAGGGACCTCTCCTACAACAGCATCACAGGGCCCATCCCTAAAGCCTTCTCCAGCCTCAAGTCACTCATGGAGCTGTGAGCACCATGCCGTCACCATGGCCTCACCATGCCACCATCTCACCATGCCATCATCCTCACACATCTCCCTATTTGCACGGACCACATGGCGCTCTGCCTGCGGTCCTTGTGTGCATGCCAGCAACATCGGCATGCCATGGTGCGTGTGCCTTGTGTCCGACCAGCAGCACATCCTCTGCTCCACACTCCCCCCAGTCCTGCTCTAGTATCCTTCACCCCCCATCAGCACTCACTCCCTACCCCATGCTGAATACTTCTCCCCCATGCCAACTTGTGCTTCTTGTTGTTTTGTGTTTCCTCGTCGTTGTTGTTGTTCCCCCCAACAGAGCACTCCAGTCCAACCAACTGCAGGCGCCATTGCCACCCCTAACGGCTGCTACGAATCTCAGAGACTTGTAACTCTCAAGAAAATTCTCTTCCCACAGGATGTTAGTACCATTACTCTGCATGCTTTGTACAGTTCCTCGAACGAACACTTCGCTTTCATATATCTTCAATAGCAAGAGGAGTGGAGTGTGGGAGAGTGTGCCAGATCATTGGAGATATGTGAATATCTCGTTTGTTGAGGTGCCGTCCTCCGTGTTATTCCTAGAGCATACTATACAATTTGCTGTGTCATGCCATTTCACAGCATGTCATGTGATGCCATGTCATTTGCCAAGGTGCCACAGGTTTGATGCCAAAGCAAGGACGTGGACCAGGGACATGGTTGTTGCCAAAGCCTGCATGGGGTAGAGCAATGTTCTGCTGCCAGCATGGGGTAGAGCAATGCACTGCTGCCAGCATGGGGTAGAGCAATGCACTGCTGCCAGCATGGGGTAGAGCAATGCACTGCTGCCAGCATGGGTAAGAGCAATGCACTGCTGCCAGCATGGGTAAGAGCAATGCACTGCTGCCAGCATGGGTAAGAGCAATGCACTGCTGCCAGCATGGGTAAGAGCAATGCACTGCTGCCAGCATGGGTAAGAGCAATGCACTGCTGCCAGCATGGGTAAGAGCAATGCACTGCTGCCAGCATGGGTAAGAGCAATGCACTGCTGCCAGCATGGGTAAGAGCAATGCACTGCTGCCAATGAACCCATTTGCAAATGCAGAGCACAATGAGTATTTAAATGTGTTCACAAGATGGCATAATACGCATTGTGCTGTTGTGTCACATGGCCTGGTGTGGCAAGGCACGGCATTGCGTGGCATGGGATAGCATGACATGGCATGGCGTGGCGTGGCATGGCATGGCATGGCATGGCATGGCGTGGCATGGTGTGGCGTGGCATGGCGTGGCATGTATGTATGGTGTTTTTGTTAAGAAACCTGGCACGGAATTCTATTGCTGCACCTCTGGAGAGCTTGAAGGTTCCAAGAAGCATCAGGGCAGTGTAAGAGCAATGGCATTGCGGGCATTGGAGGGATCTGCTTCATGTCAGACGCAGTGCAGGGCAAGGAGTGTCTGTGACTGTGCACAGGCTGCCCTTGCATTCTGATCATCTCCATCTCACTTTTGTCGCCCCTTTTCTCTAAATTGCAGATCGCTTTCCTTCAACCAGTTTTATGGGAGCCTTCCAGTGTTCATGTTCCTGTTCACTAACCTCGAGCTCTTGTGAGTGACTAAGTGACTAGCTGCAGCAGTGCTCCTGCCCCATGGGGCGCAGTGCAGTCAGCACCCACTCGGACCTGCATTGCACACACCAGACATACATAAGCCATCACACAGACACAGGATGGAGGCTCACTCTTGCCCCCTCAAGCTAACACTGTCTCGCTGTATCCCTCCCCTCTCGTCCCCCTCCAGCTGGGCTGACAACAACAGTCTCAGCGGCTCTCTCCCCGCCTCCTTCTCAGCCCTCACCATCCTCCAATCTCTGTGCGCTGCTAGGGCTGTGTGTCTGTGTGGCGGGTTGGGGGGGAGGAGGGGGGGAGGTACGTGTGTGCGTTCGTATGTGTGTGTGTTCATGTTTGTTTGTCTGTATGTGATTGTGTGTGTAAATGTGTGAGTGTGTTTCAGTGTAGGTATGTGTTCGTTATGTAAACCAAAGGACCATTGGAGAGAGTGTTGTGTTGTGTGTGACATGCCTGTTTAGGGGTTGGGGTGATTTGTTGAATTCTGTTCATGTTTGGCGTTGTGCTGACACCGTCGTCAATGCTTGAAAGGTCCGCAGCTTCCTTCGATCACGACTATCGGCGCTCATCCAACCCCTCACCTCCTTTGTGTCCGCCTGCCTCCCACCTCTTCACCCCTTGTCTCCCTGCCCCCCGTCACCACCACGCCTCGCTGCCGCCAGGAACCTGGCCAACAACAGCCTCACCGGAGGACTACCTTACGCGTTCCTAGCATCGCAACAGTGGGGCATGCTGCATGTCTCTTCTGGTTCCCTTGGCTCCCCCTGTCAAAGCACACATTTGTGTAAATAATGCTGTCACCTCATCTTTCTGCTTCATCTACCATCCACACGAGATTACTGGGCCACGCCCCTGACGCTAGACATGGTTAAAGTGCGATGCGATATTTAATCGCATCGCACTGGCTGCGATAACAATTAATATCGTGCGATAGTATATTGCATCGCTTGCGATATAAAGTTTGGAAACCTGATATCGCATATCGCATTTCAGGTGCGATGTATGACTATATTGCATTTGAAAATGCGATATATCACGCGATGCGATATAATATCGCATTGCATTTAGTAGGGGCCACTAATTTCCCTCCCTAAAAAAAGGTTTCCCAACACCATGGTATGAGAATAAAGTGGTGGAAATTGGTTAAAGTTCCAACCAATTGACTTTGGGGGTCGAAATTTCAATCCAACCCCCTGAATCCCTTCAACCGCACACCACCACATCCCATCCAGAAAACCCACTCGCCCACCGCTCACCGCCCATGTCAGATTTGAACCTCTAACCAACCCCCCTCCCTCAACCGCACTGCACTCCTTCTCATCTAGAATTTCCAACCCTTCCTCTAATGTGCTCCAAGCTCCTCACACAAACACCTCCCCATCTATATCGCCAACTCCATCCAAACTGCTGCGCGGCATTACCGCGCGCCATTTCAGCAACCTAAACCTAGACTTTAGCTTACCGCCTCTAATTTCGCTAAGTTCAGAGCCCGCGCACATGTTCCTTCCTCCTGAAGGAACTAGCTTTGAGGAGAACAGAATGATTGAGTAAGGAGCCAAGAGTCTCTATTGTACAAACAAGGTTCAAGGAAGAGGTGAAGGGGAAGCTCTCCTATTGGCCATAATGTGGACCAACGGGAGAGGTTGCTTGGAGGGCAAGAAACCAAAAAGTGTGGTGCTCTCCTATTGGCTACAATGTGAACCAATGGGAAAGGTTGCTTGGAAGGCAAGCAACCACAAAGTGTGGTGCTTGGGGATTGGTTGGTTCTTAGGACCATTTGGTTGGAAAAGTGCCAACCAAATGTCTAGGACCAAATCCAATCTTGACCAACCCAAATGTGGGGTTGGTCAACCCAACCAACAACCCCCCAATAAATATAAAGACTACACCTCCTAATCTAGGCATGCATGTTGGAGACATTTACAACACCTCCAAACCCCCTTGCTGGCGAAATTCCGCGACGCTATCGTGTGCGATATTTTTATATCGCATGAAAAACCCTGCGATAAAGATGCGATACAATTATATTGGGCGATATGCATCGCATTGCATCGCATCGCTGCGATATAAATTCTGGAAAATGACATGTCACTATCGCATTTTTGCGATATATGCGATATTATATCGCGTGATGCGATGCGATATAACCATGTCTACCTGACGCTCCAGCTTTTTTCATCTGCCAAGCCAACCAGCCCGTTGCAGCATTGCCCTCCCCATGCCTGATGGAGCTTGTGTGAAACTCCAGCTGCCGCACCTTACTGTCATGTTGCCTTGCGTTGCTTCGTGGCCATTGCATGGTAGGCAAGCGACCAACAACCGGCTCAGAGGCGTCCTCCCTGCGCTCGGCCACATTCCGGGCTGTGAGTTGTGGGCTGCTCCTGCGTGCAATATGACACAGGTGATGACATGGCACAGGTGGGGCATGGCACAGGTGGGGCATGGCACAGGTGGGGCATGGCACAGGTGGAATACGGCACTAGGGAAATCTGGATGGATACCCTTGGTTATGCCCTTGCGAATGTTGGTGCAGTTCTGGTCAGCTGAGGACAGCACCGTACCTGCTGCATGCCGTTTCATACGTCCACTGTCCACTCAACACCATCCGAAGCCCCAGCCCGGATGCCAACTCGCGCTTCACTTTCGCCCTCATTCCATGCCACACCATGGCTCTTTTCCCATCCGCTCTACTCCAAGTCCCTTCACTCGGGCTGCCCCGGCCATACCGTCCTTCCTCCCTGTCTTGGCTGTTCCGCTGCCTCCCCATTCTCCGTTTCCCCCTGGTCCTCCACCCTCCACATCTCTTCCTCTCCCCTTTTTCCCCCCAGCGCCAGCAGCGGACCCCTTTGGCTATGCCCCCGGCCGCTCAGCCCCCATGTCGCCGTGGCTGGGCCTGGCGTTCCGCCCGCTCTCCCTTGCATGGAGTGCGGAGGAGCAGGCGGGGGGGAGGGGGCAGTGGGGTGTGCAGGAGGGGGTGGTGGACTGGCGCAGTGAACGTGTGTGGTTGAGTCCACAATCACACGTGCACGCATCCCGAAGTATGCAAATGCATGCAGCTGGTGCATGATCATGCATCCCCTTGAACCTCCCACCGACTGACCTGAGCAGTGCAGTACCAGGAGGAGCACTCCCCACTGCTGGAAGACTGAGTGACATTCACCCGAGTGCCCTTCTTCACCACTCTGCTGCACACCTGCACGCATGCCATCCTATGCCATGCTATGTAACTGTTGTGATGTATATATACTACATATTTATAACAACATACATAGGTTAGAATAGGTGTAGCTATTTTACATATTGGGGGGTGAACATTGGATTTGGTCTGGTCCTTTGGTTGGCACTAGACATGATCAAAACGCGATTGCGATTTAAATCGCATCGCGTATGGGGGCGACAAAAAAAAAAGCAATGCGACTTAAAATCGCATCGTGCGATGAAACTGTTATTCGCACATTGTTTTTGCAGTGCGATGTTTCTAAAAATCGCATGCGATGAATTTAAAAATCGCATTTCTGGTCTTAGGGGAAAAGCATTCCAACAGTTCAAAACTTCGAGAGACACATGCTCCAAAAACTTCAAGATCTGCATTAGGTGTTGGCAGAAAATCGAGTAGGGTTGGGTGCGCAAAGAGGGATTAAGGAGATGAGGTTTGGATTGGGAGGGATAGGTTGGGTGTTGGCGAATTAGGCATGGGTTGGTATGTGAGAGAGTGGTTTGGGTCCTCCCGTTGTGCGCCCTCCCTCGCGCCCTCCCGTCGCGCACCCTCCCGTCCCACCCTTCCATTGTGTCCGCCCGACCCTAAACCATCCTTTTGAGCGCCCTCCCGCCGCACGCACTTTCGTCGCGCCTCCTTCCATCGCACTCCCGTCATGCGCCCTCCCAGGTGTGTCCCCCGTCGCCGCGCTCGCCGCGTCCGCCATTGCTCGCTGCCATTGCATCTGCCGCCGCCGTGTTCGAGCTTGCGCCTCTCGCCGGTGCCCACGCCCGCGATTGCACCGCATCCTCAAATGCTACACATTGTGCAGCGCCTTCGGCTTAAGAGCTGAGCTCTGCGCACCTGCTCTTTTCACCTCCTCTTCCTCCTCCTTCCTCCTTCCTCCTTCCTCCCACTCCTTCTCCCTCCTTCCTCCCACTCCTTCTCCCTCCTTCCTCCCCCTCCTCTTTCTCACTCCTCCCCCGGCATGGCATCCTCCGACTCGCCCGTCAACCTTGCCGCGGTTGACGCACTCGAACTCCTCCCCGACAACACTGCCGCCAACCGGCACTCCAAAGCCCAGTCGGTCAAGGTGCTCCTCTCCTCGGTGGTGGTTGGCGGCTACAACGTGAAAGCCGTTGTGTTCAAGCAGTTGTGCTCAGGGCGCCAAGATTGCCATCCGCATCTACTGCAACAGCCTCATCAAGCACCTCCGCCTGCGGCTGATCTACGAAGCCGCCAAGGCCGACTACGACTTCGCAGTCGCACGCTATGTCGCGTACCAGGAGGAGTTCACCACCTACACTACCCACCTGCGCACCTACACCACCAGCATAGCCGCCTGGCATGTCCCTGATCATCGAGCGCTTGCAATCCTCCTTGCCACCATTCTCTCCTCCCTCAAGCTCCCACCTCCTCCTCCCACCCGTGGCAGCTCCTGGCCAATCTCTTTGATCATCAGGATGTTGCCACCCTCTACTTCCTCATCAAGGAGTTCAACTCCCTCACTATGGACTCCACCACTCGCGCCTCTGCATTCACCCGCCACGTCCTCGATCTTGCCCGTCGTCTTGCCGTGTTTGACGTAGCTTACCTCGATGCACCTCTGCTGCCAACTCCTCAAGAGTCTCGCCCGCCATTGATGCCCACAAGCTCGCCTACATGCGGCTGATCTCACAGCACCACACCCCCGCCAAGGTTGCCCAGTGCAGTGGAGCATCAACACCGAGGCCGAGCTCTTTCACCAGCCCTCCTCCTCCGCGGCAGTAGCTCAGACTCGCAGCGGCAGGAGTGGGCGTGGTGGTGGAAGCGGTGAGGCTGTGGGTCGTGTGTGAGAAATCGTGACAGTAAAAAGTAGGTCATTGTATTGGGAAAGGAGCGGGTATACAGAGGTGAGGAGTAGGAGGGGGGGTTTGGTTGGGAGGTGACCACGATTATTGGTCACCCTAATAAGTTGGGTTGGCCAACTTATTGGGGGTCCAATAATCCTAGCCAAGATTATTGGTGGGTCCAATAATCTTGGTTGGGATTATTTGGGGTTTCCAATAATTGGGAGTCCAACCCCCAACTTGGGTGTATACGCCCTAGTGGGGTGCTGATAAGTACCTAAGACAATGTAACAATGTAGGCTAATAGAATGAAGGTAGAATATTCTAACATCATGGTCGTGTTGGGCATGGCGCAACATCCGCCTTTCCCCCGTGTCAGTACCTGCCTCACTATGGCCCCACCCGCTGGGTCAGCACTACGGCCAGATCGCTCATGCCAGTGAGACGTGCGTCAAGGGCACTCAGTGACCAGTGGTTGCCCGTGGCAACTCCCACTCCTCCTCGCTGGTCCTCTGTCACTCCCTGCCCCACTTCCCACGAGGTGCACACCTCCCCCGTCTATCAGCCCAGCTCCTCTACCCAGGCCCATCAGGCCCTCACCTCTTCGCTCCCTCAGCAGCACCAGAGGGTGCAGCAGCAGGTGTTGCAGCAGCAGGAGCAACAGTGCCTCCTTAGCAGCAGCCCTTCTCTGCCAGGAGTGGTGCGATTGCTGCTCATCTCTCCGGTGCCTCCTCTGCACCCTCTGCTACTAGCACTGTGACCCCCTTTCCCTCCTTTGGCTTTGTTGGTTTGCTTAGTCAGACTGGGTCTGTTGAATCTTCCATGTATCCCCCTGCTATTAATGAAACCGCATTTGAATAGTATGTGGCCTCTCCTCCTCCTCCCTCACCTTCACTCCCCTCCACCTTGGACTTTGTCCTGGACAGTGGAGCCACCGAGACCGTTCTACCCTCCCCTTTCTTTTTGGGATCCGGCTCGACTCGGCTCGTACACGATGTCCTCGTCGAGCCGGGATCGAGCTCGATTTCAAACGATTCTCCCCATTTGTCTCTCCCGCCAACAACTCCTCGACTGTGTTACCGCAAACACTCTAGCAGGGCAGCGTTTAGCGTTTAAAAGCTGCGTTAAAATGGTAAACGCTAAACGCCCACCCAAAATGTTTGACGCGGAATGTTTTCCCACGACATTGCTTGCGACCTGGCGAATTCAACCAGACATTGCGCCAAGTCGCAATCCCAAACTTTGACAACCAAAAAACCCATCAAACCCTTTTGCCTCGCTCAACCGCACTGCACACTATTGCATCTACGACTTCCAACCTATCTTCTAACACCCTCCTTCCTCCTCACAATCTACTTTCCGTCAATTCCGCAAACCCTAGAATTCCGTGCGTGCCTAGGAGTAGCGCAATGAATCTTAAGCAGCCCGCGCCACTTTTAACAGCGCGCACTTGCGTAGGCTCAAGCGCGCACTACTGTAGGCTTAAGCGCGTGCTAGGCGAGCCGAGCCGAGCCGGCTCGCTGTCGAGCCAGCCCTGGCTCGCCCACAGAAATGCGAGCCGAGCCAGGGATGTTTGGTGACCCGTGGACGAGCCGAGCTGAGCCTGGCTCGGCTTATGCCCATGTCTACTCCCAAAGGTCCCTCCAACAGACCGGTATCACCACCATCTTCCAAGTCGCGCTAACCACTGTGCACTCTATCACACTACTACTCGTAGACTCCTCTCCCGTATCCCCTTTCGCCCCCGTTCCCACTGTCATCGATTACAGGTGAGTCGTGTAGTGAATGACAGTTAGCATTTGGCACTAAGCATGAACAAAATACCCGTTCGGGTCAGGTATACCGGACCTGACCCGACTTTTACCCCGGGTCGGGTAGTGGTTAGGGGAAGCACTACCCGACCGGGTTGGGCTGAATATTACCATTGGGTAGTGCTGACCAGCTACTAGACATGGTTAAAGTGCGATGCGATATAGCATCGCATCGCACTTAGGCTTGAGCATGAACCCGACCCGACCCGACCCGACCCGACTCGACTTTGCCCTACCCGATGTCAGGTTTGGGTCGGGTCGGGTCGGGTCAAGTCGGGTCGGAGTTCAGGAAATGTCAACCCGACCCGGTATTGATAGGTCGGGTACTACCTGACCCGATTTCGGGTCGGGTTGGCATAGGGGCATGGATGGGTAATAAGCCGACCCGACGGGTCGGGTTTTGTCGGTCGG